TTCAAGAGTGAGATGCTTCCCCACCTGGAGTACAGTCCTGTCATCCTGTCTGGCCCTCGAGATATGCTAAAGACTCAGTTGACTGAAAATGTTCAAAGGAGGGCCACTAGACTGGTGTCTGCACTACGGCACCACAGTTATCTAAAAAGTTTAGAACATCTGCAACGGCCTAGTTTATAGTACCTGTACAGTATACCCCCAAGTTCGCGGATTTTTACTTCACGGTTCTCGGTTATTCACGGATGACACCTCGGATGTACCAAAGAATGTCTCTGGGCAGTTTTAAAGTTGCCGGCATTTTTGCGGCTGGGACAGGGAGCCATTCATTCTAGAGACAGTAATTTCCTTTACCTGTATTGTAAATATGTGTGTGTGTAGACACACACACAAAACACATACAAATAAATAATAACGGGAAAATACTCTCACAAATAATCAAAAACAAATTTATTAAAAATGTGAGTCTACCCTCAAGTCCATGCTCCATTACTTTATTAATAGAGCACGGACTACCTGGGCTTATATTTAGGCATAAAAGAACCTGATTTACAGCCATAATTTTGAACATCAGTTATTGATTAATCTCAACAGAAAGATTTGCAAATAAACATGTATAATGCTGTGTCTTTTATTTTTATCTTGAGTTAACTATTTTTTTTTAATTTAATATTTGTGACAATTAATAATTTGGGTTACATTTTACTTTTAGTTCCTAACCAAACCCAGCAAGACAACATGAGAAAACAAAGGCACCTAAAGAACCAAAGCTGAAATCAAAAGTCCGAAAAACTCAAAGAATATAATTTCGCAATGAAAACACTTCAAAGTACTCTTATTTTTGGTAATGTCTGAGAACAGCACTACCACCACTGGGAGTTGTTTGATTACTTTTATTTTTTCCAGATATTCTTTGGATGATAGTAAATATTAAAAATGATATGCCAATGCATATAACCTAATATAACCTGACCTAACCCACCAAAGAATCCTACCTAACCTTACTTAACTTCCTAACCCCTGTCATATTAAACAGAAAGTACTAATTTTGATATCTGGTACCAATGCAACAATTTTGTTGAAACTTCATTATGTAATTTTACAGTTTTTTGGAAGTGAGAGTACACTCGGACCAAGCGGGTTGGCTGTAAACAAAGAGAAGACACGTGGCGATTCAGCAGATTTTTAGGAGTATTCACGGTATATAATTAATTTCTTCGTGTACAAAGCACATAAAGACACCATTTTAGTGAAATACGATCAGTTTTTCACCGCGTTTTACCCACAATTCCCCTAATCCTTTATGCCCTGCCCACTACAGGTGATTTATGACTGTAGAGAAAAAATAATAATTAAAAGTTGTTGCCTCTTTTAAAATACTGTACTTACTATAATGATAAGAACGTGTGTGGAAATAATGAAGATTAATGTTAACGAGATACCCTCTGCCGCAATATGGGTTTTGAAGTTTCTTTTATTACTATATTTTCATCGGTGAGTTCTGATATGATATTAATTTCTTGGGAAAATGCTTCGTTTGGTAAATAATTATGCCCCTAGGCTCGCATTAGCAACACTACTTCATCTTGAACAGCGATAAATCAATACGGCGGCCCAACCGACACTCGAGTTTTTCATATGTTCGGTGTACGTTTATGAGCCGCTCGGTCCGGGCGGCTTCTCACGTTCACATAAAACATAAAATTACACCATATCATAGTAAGTTCTTTTTGTTTAATATACCGGGGGGTTTGGGGAGCGGAGCCCCACGGCTAGGAAGTTAGGAAAGGTTAGATAGGTTTCTTTGGTTAGGTTGGTGCGGTCTTCTAACAACACTTCTGCTGCTCGTTTTTCTTATCAACTAAAGTTAGGTTTAATTTAGAAATAACCAGGGTTAAACAAAGGTGATATAACAAAGGTAATTAAACTATCCAACCATGAATGAACTCATAGCAATTGTTTTAAATTAGGCAAATTTAGATTTAGGCGCGAGATAGGTAAACATTGGTTTGGAAATAGAATCGTGGATGAGTGGAGCATGTTACCAAACATCATCATAAATTCGAACATGCTGGGTAGCTTTATATATAGGTTGGGCAGATATATAAGCAATAGGGGTTGGGTGTAAACGGGACTGTCCAGTATGGGCCAATAGGTCCGCTGCAGTTTCCTCCATTTTTATGAATGATGTATTGGACCTCAAGCCTGTAGATTAATGTTCATGACAGAAACAATCCAAAAAATTATATTGAAAAATATGGCAATTATTGACGACTACACCAACACTGATTTTTCATAGAAAACAAATTTTAAAATGCCACAAGTTCAACTTAACCTAACCAAACCCCTGCCCCCATAAAATGATTATCACATCAGAACTCACTGATGAAATTATAGAAAGAATATGAACATCAAACAATTTTGGAAGAAGTTTAACGTTAAACAAGCTGTAGACTTCTTGGTGGAGGCATGGGATCTGCTGACTATTGCTACGATTCGTCACGCATGGAGACATGTGTTGCATGGCATACCAGGTGAGAGGAGGAGTGAACCTGTGACTGGTCAGGTTCAGACTGTTGCAGTAGCAGTGGACCTTGCCAGAGAAGCTGCGCTCAATATTACAGCTGAAGGCTTCTCCGAGACCACCAACGAAGACATCCTGGAGGTGATCAAAGTTCCTGAAGTGACTGCCGACGAGATGTTGGAAGAAGAACACGCCAGTGAAGAGGAGGAAGAAGGTGCGTCATTCTCCGAAGAACCTAGTTTAAGTCATAGTGATATTAAGTGTGTCATAGAGTTTACAGAAAAAATTAAGTCCGTCCTTTCCCGCGACAATGACGATGAACGCTATGAAGTCTTCCATACCCGACTGGTGCAGGCTATGGAGCCGTACATCAAGGTGTATCACGACAACATCAACACCAGCCGTCAGCAAAGCATAACCGAGTTCTTCGCCCGCAACCCACCACAGCCAGCCCAAGCCAGTGATAGTGAAAGTGAAGTTGACTTTGAGGGATTTGTCAGGGAAGCCCTGACAACTGTAAGTGACAGTGATGTTGATTCACCTAGTAATGGTGATTCACCTGAGGGCCAGTAATCTGCCCTCTGCCTCGGAACCAGCCTCCATCCCCGTATGCCGACCCATCTCTTCTACTACCGTAAGTGTTCCACAAAATTTTTCGTTTTTTAACCTATTCTTTATTTTTCCTATGTTAACCTTTATCTTTCCTAACCTAACCTCTTCTATATTACTTGTTTTTTCATACCATCATAAAGTTAAGATAGAATTTTTACTACAACATAGTTATGTGTCGTCAAAAAGTGGAGTTTGGGGGTCGGGCTGGGTTCTATTGGAATTAATCCCATATGTTCTGTTGTTCACTTAACGCGGATTTCACTTAACGCGGGACCCTCTGGGTTCAATTTACCGCGTTAAGTGGGGTACAACTGTAGTCATAAATATTAGCCGAATTATCAAAATATGGGCTAATATTGACGACTATACCGCAAACACATTATTTGTTCTGATGTTTGTGGTAGTCATCAATAATAGCCGGTTAAGGTTATGTTAAGTTTAACCATTAAATAAACACTTTTTAGCACATTTGCCATAAATACAACAGTGTCCACTATAACGCACAGTGAAATTGCAGCATTTCTAACTCGTTTTCCATGAAAAAATTAGCAGTAGTAATGTTGTCAATACTTACCGATCATTCATAGTATTATTTCACGTCTTGCCACTTAACGAACCTCAGTAGTTTGGGTAAATATTTGTTTAATGGCAGTGGCTCCTTTTTGTTGTGAGAATAGATTTTTGTGTGTGTGTGTGTATTTAGGTGTGTTTTACTCAAGTCTGAACTTAAATTTTTGGACAAATGAATGAGTTTTGTAAAAAGTTAAAATTTTCTGCTTTTTATTTGCACCAAAAATTAAGGTCAAATTTGAATAAAACACACCTAAATACACACACACACACACAAAAAACCCTATTACCCAAAAAAATTCTACATCCAAATCACAGTTGAAACCTAACCTAACCTTGCCACAGCCATTAAACTAATATTAACCCTAATTTTATAGTTGCAATCGATAATTTTGACAATTCGCACATTTTCTTCAATGGAATTTCTGGCGCAAAATTTGCATAAGCGCAATATTTAAAATTTTATTGTCTGAAAATTTACATTTCAATTGTTGTCGCTAAACGAATCTCATGAATTTTATAGTTGCAATTGGTAATTTTGACAATTCTATTACACTTTTCCTCAATGGAATTTCTGGCGCGAATTACGTATAAGCAAGAATTTAGCATTTTATTATCTATGTTCATTATTGGCGGTACACAACCGTGACATCGAACAGGATTATTATTGTTTCGGTCATCCATCAAATTTTAGGATTTTAAGTTACCACCATCCGAGAGAGCTCCTGTGGTTAGGTTATGTTGCATTTGAGAAGCAGTGTTGTGACCGATTTTTATCAGTTAGGTTAGGTTGAAATTCTGTTTTCTGGTGGTTTTGATGTGTTTTGAACGATTCTGACCTGAACTTTTATCACAAATTACTACATTTTGTGGTTTCCTCCCAGCCAAAACCCCTGGTTCCCATTGGGGGTCCCCCATTATTGTTGGATAAGGGAGGTAGCTAAAAAAGTAGTGGTTTGCGGTAGAAATGAAGGTCAGAATCAATCATAATACACCAAAAACCACCAGAAAAACATAATTTTAACTTCCATATAAATGGATGATCGCAACGATGATTTTGCCCATCGAATGACATGGCGGTACACATGCAGAACATAGAACAGTTAATATTTAGTAGTTGCCACCACCTAACTGAATATTGAGTCATATATGGGGGGATAGAGAAAAAAATTTAAAATAAATTATTCTAGAACGTTTCTGTAGGAAATTTTTAGTTTTCAAGTTATTTTAACTTTTATAATATTTGGCCAATCAGTAAGAGTGTTGATGTGAAGCCATATTCGTGCACACCCATCACCATGAGTGTTGATGTGACGTCATAGTCGTGCGTGTCATTCAGCATTCATGGCCAGTTGGAAGATGGCGTCAGTGTGAGATGGATGTACATTGGCTGGCTGCCGCATTATTCAGCTCATTTTGGACAATGAAACAGCAGCCGTTGACATTTTTAGGGTTCACGGGATTCTTGTTTCATCTGTAAAGTGTCCAAGATGTAATTCAGTGTCACTACCGTGCAGATCAGAGACAGACTTGCAAAAGAGACTTAGGGGTAGTCATAAGCCCGGACCTTCGGCCTAGAAAACATTGTTTTAATGTTCAAAATAAGGCAAACAGAGTACTGTATTAGGTTTTATATCTAGAAGTGTAAGTAATAAGAGTACGGAGGTCATATTGCAATTATATCTTGCGCTAGTCAGGCCGCACCTCAATTATGCTGTCCAGTTCTGGTGCCCTTATTATAGAATGGATATCAATTCACTAGAGTCGGTGCAGTGAAGAATGACAAAAATTATTCTGGGACTTAGAAACCTTCCATATCAAGATTGATTAAAGAACTTAACTTGCATTCCCTAGAAAGACGAAGTGTGCGGAGAGATATGATAGAAGTATTTAAGTGGGTGAAAGGAATCAATAAAGGAGATATAGATAAAGTTCTTATAATATCCGAGCAGGATAGGACTCGTAGCAACAGATTTAAGTTGGATAAGTTTAGGTTTAGGGGGGAGATTGGAAGGAACTGGTTCACAAATAGGGTGGTAGATGAGTGGAACAAGCTTAGCAACTTTGTAATAAGTGTTGGGACGCTAGAAAGGTTTAAAAGGAGGCTAGATAGATTCATGGATGATAGAGTGGTTGTAACTCTCAACAGGAGCTGCCATGCACAGGCCAACCGGCCTATTGCAGACTCCTTATTTTCTTATGTTCTTAAGACACCACTTCCTCATTCAAGGCACATCACTCTATCCTCCTGTATCTCTTACTTAGGTAAGTTTCTTACACACTAGAGTTTAGGTTAGTTAGGTTAGGTAGGTTAGGTGAGGTTAAGTAGGTTAGGTTATATGAGGTAAGGTGAGGTTAGGTTAGTTTTTTTTAGTTTCTTTGAGATTTTGTATATAACATGATTTACACTATAAAAACTCATTTTAAAAAATCAATTAGGTGGTGGCAACTCCTAAATATTTACCCATCGAATGACTGTGGAGCCCCCGGTTTCATTAGGTTAGATTTAAAACTTTTTCTGAGGGTTTTAAAAACATTTTACCTAAGATTTTAATAGCAAATCTTTACTGGGTAGATTCTAGGCAGGAGAGGGGCTTATCTCAGAAGCTCTTGATTTGCACCAGAAATGAAGGTTAATTCATTCATAACACATCAAAAACCATAGGAAAATATAGTTTGAACTTTGATTTCGTATAGTAGCAACAAGTGAAAATTTACCCAATCTTTCGGAGTGAGAATTGTGAACTCTTGGAACAACCTGCCAGAGTGTTGTGACGGCACCGAGTGAGCTCTTTCAAGACTAGACTTGACTACAGTGGAGCAGGTTCAGATACACCCCATTTCGTCACCAATCCGTTTCGTCACCAAAACCCCATTTCGTCGCCACTAACAGTCACTGGTATTAGTGGCAAATTGTAAGTTATTATTTTACACAAATGGAAATATTACACATGTATACAGATGACTTGAGAAGTATTGTTATTATTATACATGAATATTAATTATTTAATAAACAAAATAATTAAAACATTTGTAAATAAACTGAACAATGAAGATAATTTGGCACCAGCGCATAAACCACAGAGTAGCAAAGAACAATTTCGCTCCACGTTCTTCTGCACAGAGAAGCCTCAATGGTTGATTTGCAATTACAATTAGTTGCTGAGCACAAGCTAAAATCGTGCACAAGAAAAGCAAATCTCTGGAAGCTGTGGGATGAATATGAAGAAAAAATATCACCACTTCTAATTTCCTAAACAATTGTCAGTGTCTTCTTCCAAGCTTGCATGAATATTAACAATGTTTTTATTCTTTTTAAATTTTAATCTTTTTAAATTTTAGTCTTTCACATATTGTTTAAGTGAGATGATTGCAAGCGTATTAACAATGTTTTTATTTTATATTTTCATTGTTAATAAATTGTCTTATGTGTTTTTTATTACCCTATAATTTCTACTCCAAGCAACAGTTACTTTCGTGTATATATTATTAAGTTAAATGATTGCAGGCGTATTAACAATGTTTTTATTTTATATTTTCGTCTTAATAAATTGGATTTTTTTTATTATTTTCTATCCCAAGCAACAGTTATTTTCGTGTATACTGTACATTGATGGGAAAAGTGGTGACGAAACGAGTTGGTGACGAAATGGGCATAGCCCCATGCCCAATACCGTACTTGCAAACAATGCTTAACAGACGTGACCGACTGCCCAAGCGGCTAACGAGCCGATCAGTGGCGTAGATGACAAAAATAAGAGTGGAAGGTATATTCTGTTCAGTAGTAAGAGTAAATTGTACACCTAATTTATTTATTTCTTAAGAACTCGTCTGTGACTGAATATATATATACGTTAGTGTTCATGAAGCAAACTTCACTAAATCTATTCAACCGGAATAAACTAAAATATATGTAGGCTCCATACAGGAATTTCATCTTTCTCACTGTGTAGAAGATAATACTGTGAGGCGGCCAGCAGTGGCAGCCGCGGCCAGCAGTAGCAGCCAGTCTTGTTGTCACTCATTGGTGCCTCCCCAGGCCCCTGCCTTCTTCTCTCACTAATAATATGAATTCCAATCCTATAAAATAATAATCAACTCGGCAGTTCTTACTTAATTAAAGGATTAAAAAATAAATTACAATTCTATATTAAAGTTTGGCTGGCATCTACACTGGGTGTCACAACGTGCACACGTACCCGATGTTGTTGGTAAACGCAGCCACCTTCTGCAGCGATTTTCACACGCCAGTTTTACCCATAACGTTATTCAACACGAACGCTCATTCATTTTTACTATAATTAAGTTTCCTATCATAATAACAATATTTGGAGGGTATTTACAAGGCCATTCAGCAAAGTTCTAACCTTCGAAAATCTTCGTCCTTGGCGTGGTACGGCAACACTGGAATGTAGTGTTGTAAAGCGAGCATCAAAAGGCGTATTTTTATCTTGAATAGCTTGTACTGGTGTTAATATCTTATTATGTAGTAATGCGAATTACTATACATTACTTCATATCCAGGTGTTTGTTTTCATGAAATATATTTCGTATCACAGATATTTTCTATCACAGACTCAAGCCACTGGCAATAAAAATATCTTTCATGTACTTCCAGATAGGCATATTCATCTCTATTGTTCATGATCTTACAAGCAAACAGTAACAGAGTTCACTTATCTTAAATCTAAATACGAATCTAGACGTTATGCAAAAAATGGAGAGAAGCTATGTCAAATAAATTATCATACGACACAATGCAAAACAATAGTACTTGTTATTCAAATAACTTTGTGAATTTTTTGACATGCGAATTTTATATTGTAATAATTCAATTAATAAATAACAACGTTCAAAGTATGACAAATGATATAAGCATAGCTTGAGAAAATTTTCAGAAAACATAGTCGTGGCAATAGTTCCAGCAGAAAGGGCACGAGGAATGACTCCTCGCAAGATGGTTACTGTCAGTGATGTCACATCTACTATATTTCCTTCCTTTATTACAATCTTATAAAATACGTTAAATGATATTTGAAATTGCATATTCTATTCAAAACGATATGCATCCAAATAGAATTCTGATATCATATTAAAAGAACTTTACGTGGTTCATATTATAATTTTTATGATTATAAAAATAATTTGAAAGACAATATTCCAAATGTAAACAACTGTATTTTCGCGGGAAATTCAAAGCTTCACAACGACTCACAAGACAGGAGTTTATAAACTTTAAGCCTACTTTGGACAGAGACTTGTCCCTCAATGTCCAAAGTATAACTTGTGAAACTTTACTTGCTTCAGTGCTTTAATGCACGTTGAATGATTGCACTAGTGTCTAGTGATCGACTGATCTGTCGAATACTTAACCAGGAACATACTGTATATAAAATATATACATAGATTTTGCCGAGGCTTTCGACAGTGTACCCCACGAAAGGCTGAAATCAAACTGGAAGGGTACGGAATTCGGGAAAATGTCCTACCGTGGATAGAAGACTTTCTACATGAGCGCAAGCAGCGTGTGATGATTAATGGCACGAAATCATCATCCGCACCTGTAACAAGCGGGGTACCACAGGGCAGTGTATTGGGCCCCCTGTTGTTTGTGTGTTTCTTAAATGACATGCCTGACGTTGTACACTCCTCCATACAAATGTTTGCCGATGACTCCAAGTTATTTCGGGAAATCAAGAACCAAGCGAACTGTGAAGAACTCCAGAAGGATCTCTGTGAACTCCAAGAATGATCGAAGAAATGGTTGCTGAGATTCAATGTCAAGAAGTATAAGAGGCTGCACCTTGGGCGTACCAACGGTAAGGAGACGTATCATATGTCCCAACGGGATGAAGAAACTTCACTATTTGAAACTGAATGTGAGAAGGACCTAGGTGTGTATGTTGACAATGAGCTGAAGTTCTCGGGCCATTGCGAGAAGAAGGTAAATCAGGCAAATAAACTATTGGGTCTTATAAGAAGGTCGTTCAGATATCTAGACTGTCCGTCCCTCGTAACGATCTTCAAGAGTGAAGCGCTTCCCCATCTGGAGTACTGTCACCCCGTCTGGTCCCCGAGATATGCTAGGGACTGTCAGTTGGTTGAAAATGTTCAACGGAGGGCCACCAGACTGGTGCCTGCACTTCGGCATCTCAGCTACCCTGAGAGATTGCAGCTCCTGAACTTGCCCAGTTTATACTACAGACGGGCAAGGGGTGACCTAATTGAGGTGTATAAGCATCTCAAGGGGCACTACTCAGTCGAGAGTCCTTACTTGGAGCTGGCGGACGCTCGCCCCACAAGGGGTCACAGCTCCAGATTAAAGAAGCCGCAAGTCCAGAAAACTGTGAGGGCAAAATTTTTCGGAGTGAGAGCTGTGAACTCTTGGAACAATCTACCAGAAAGTATTGTGACGGCACAGAGTGTGAGCTCTTTTAATACAAGACTTGACCAACACTGGAGCAGGTTCAGGTACATTCAGGAGCCAGTGCATGCCCAGTACTTGCCAACAGTTCGTAACAGAGGCGTGACCGATCGCCCAAACGGCTAACGAGCCGATCATTTAGTGAAGAGGATAAATGAAAGAGAAAAGCAACAGAGACGTGACCAATCGCCCAAGCGGCTAACGAGCCGATCAGTGGTGAAGAGGATAAAAAAAACAGTAGTCTCTCGAAGTTCACCTCTTCGGTAGACTGATAGATAGATAGTTAGGTTGTGTGTGTGTGTGTGTGCTGATAACCACAAAGAAACAAGAAAGCACAAAGTTTCCAAGTGCTTTCGTGTAATTCACATCTTCGGGGGTGAGTACAGACTAAGGAGTAATACTTGACAAGGCTAATATACTGTCTACAGTAGAGGAGAGTGAGATCAAGTCCCTAGGGAACAGCAGGTGAACACAATGTTCCGGTCATAAGGCAGTGACCCAACCCTTACTAATCTTCTTAATAAAAAAATAAATAAATAACCATACCATCTCTAGGCACATCAGCTGTCCGTAGTCAGGTCATAGGGTAAGATGACCCATCCCTCTCACCTAGTTACAAATCTTCTTAATCACAAAATTATCCAGTTTGTACATACCATTACTCAAATTCATGTTGACAGATTCGGTATGTTTAATGAGACAGGATTCTAGAATGTTCCTACTGACAATTGAATTACAAGGTAATATTGAGGAGGCATTATCCTAGTCAATGCTATGCTTATTATCTCTCATATGAATGAACAGAGCATTGGATTCCTGGCCTGTCCTAACACTATATTTATGTTGTTTAAGTCTAGTTATAAGATCTTTACCCGTCTGGACTAAGTAGAACATATTACATTCCTTGCAAGGAACCTTGTAAATGCAGCCGCCTGCATTGTTGTGGGAGTTCTTAATTAACATTTGTTTTACAGTGCATGAGTTTTTAAATGTCACATTAACGTTCCAGGTTTTCAGTTGTATAGGAATTTGAAAGAATTTTTGGTAAATGGTAATACTAACAGATTCTTATTGTCATGGGTTGGCTTCGGATCAGTTCTATAAAAAGATTTCATATTAATGTTAAGGCATTTGTCTGTAAAAGACCTAGGGTACTTAAGGTTCAAGCCAATATTATAGATATATTTATATTCCTCATCAATGAATTCCGGACTGCATATTCTTAGAGAACGTAAAAACATTGATGAAAATACTGACTGTTTGACTCTATTATGGTGGGCAGAATAATAATGAATGTATGAACACACATTAGTAGGTTTTCTATAAATACTGAACTTAAAGGTGTTACCTATTCTGTGGATCAGGTAGTCTAGGAATGGTAATTTGCAGTCATTCTCTAATTCCACAGTGAATTTGATCGAGGGGGCTAAGTTGTTAAGTTGTGGTAGAAAAGCTTTTAGGTCCTCATTACATGGCCAAGGACATATTACATCATCTACATATCTAAACCAGACTGCTGAAGGTGGTAGTGTTGCGTACTGTATGTGGCCAGTTGTATATTCTCTTTAGTTGTCTATTTTCTCTTTGTATGGGCACACAAACATACGTACATGTAGATATCTCATACTCAGGAATGAGGTAGAATAGAAACTCACAATGCGCTTCCTTTATATATATTGTTGTACAGGGCATTGCTTAGGAGTGACTAGGTGAGGAGTAGTTTGCTCAGAGGTCCTGTAGGGCGAGGAGGTTTCTGAGGAAGCCGGGTGGTGAGGAGCTGTTGAGAGATGTTGCTGGTCCGGTAGCCGAGTGTAGAATGAGTTCCCCGGTTGTTGTTGTTGTTGTTGTTGTTGAGATTGTCGGACCGTAGTCCGACACGGGCCTTTGCCTATAGGCGGCCCGGCCCGTTTGGTGGTTCCGGCTGGAGCTCCTGGAACAGCCAGACCGGATTGGGATTGGAGGTGGTCCTACCTGCAGATTTGGAAGGATACTGCAGGTTGCAAGTGTGAGCGGACCCCCGATCAGTGGACGCTTACCACCAACCCCCACTCTTGGACGTGGTCAGTATCGGAGTAGCGCACCCCCCGAATTGGGGTCCGCACTTGCTGGGAGAGGATCCTTTCTAAGCTATCTGGGTGGTGGGTATCGTGTGATGACCCGGAGAAGGTGGTGAATGTGGTTTGTTTGGGCCTTTCGGGTTAGAGTGGCCGCTGGTGTTGTGTGTGCTTCTTGGGAGTTTTGAGTTCTGTTTCGGAGGCTTTGTGTGACTTCGCAGTCGAGGAGATAGTGTTCAAGTGGGTTGGCTGCTGGCTCCTGACAGTAGGTGCATTCCATGACGTCATTTCCGATCATCTGCCAGGAGCACTTGTACCCTAGTCGTAGTCGATGAAGGCTGACTTGGGTTTGTCTTGGTGTTTTCTTGTCTGCGAAAGGTGGTTCCCCTTTTGTAGCCGCCAGGTACCATTTGCTAATTGGGAATCAGCGTTGAATGCGTGAAAGAAGCTCTTTTGGATGTGGAGCTTGCTAGTCTTTCTGAGGTGATTCTTGACCTGTTGCACGCTTGCTGGAACTTGAATGTGTACGCTACTAGAGCGTGTGGCTGCCTTGGCTGCTTCGTCTGCCACGTCGTTTCCCCCGATCCCTACATGACTGGGAATCCAATGTAAGACGACTGGGCAGTTTTGTCTTTCGAATTCCTGTAGCTGTGCAAAGATCGAGGTTATGATGTGGACGTTGTCTCTTGGTTGACTGTGTTGCAGCGCCTGCATGGCCGATTTCGAGTCCGTGTGAATTATGATGGACTTGTTGTGTTGTGTTGCAGCGTGTTGTAGGGCCTTTGAGATTGCTACCAGCTCTGTTTGTAGGGTGGAGCAGTCATTAGAAAGTCTCCATCGGAGGGTCTGACCTTGGGTGTAGAAGGCAGCTCCGGATGTATGATGTTTTGGATCCACCGAGCCGTCTGTGAAGTATGATGCTGCATCAGCCGGTGTCTCGGTGGCTATGGCTTCCAGAGTTAGTTTTTTGAGGTCCTCCTTCTGGAGGTTGGCTTTGCTATCACCTAGGTCGGTAATTTTGAATGTGGCTGGTGGGGGGCTCCATGGTGAAGGAACTCCGTAACCATTGTCTCGTGCGTCTTGGTTGTTCTTGACGAGTGTTTCTGCTTGCAGGTGTCGGATGACTTCGCTTGCCTCGTG